ACATATAGATTTGATTGTTGCAAGGGAGTTATTTAAAAACCAATATTTTATTTGTACCTCATTGAGGCGACTGCTCAATAAACGGTTACATATTAAAAATTATATTTAGGGGCGCCTGAGTGGCTCAGTAGGTTAAGTGTCCAACTTTGACTCAGGTCATGATCTTGGAATCTGTGAGTTTGAGCCCTGCATGGAGCTCTTTGCTGACAGCTCTGAGCCTAGAGCCTGCTTCAGATTCTGTGTCTCCATCTCTCTCTCCCTGCCTCTCTCTCTCTCTCTTTCTCTCTCAATCCCTCTCAAAAATAAATAAACATTTTAAAAAATTAAAAATAATTATATTTAGTACAAGACAGGGGAATGAAGAAAGCTATTCATGAAAGACTCAGTTGATGGATCATGGATAATAATCCCTTTCACTTCTAGTCTTGAACTGAGGATATCCAAGTGAAGAGTGAATATAAATCACCCTGAAAAGATCTCTGATGGAAGAACATTATACTGGACACTTATTTTTTAATACAATCAATCTTTTGGGAGTAAACATTTTAAATATTATACTATGCTCTCTTTATGACCTCTCCTATAGATTTTTTAGGGTGATGACTGGGCCTTTGCTAAAATGATTCACAGTCTTAGCACAGGAGACTCTTTGAATGCCATTTGGCTGAATTGATGTTTGTGACATCTACTATTGATCCTATCGGGGTAATACAAATACTTAAGCATTACAAAAATTCCACATCAATTATTTATTGCTACATTTATGTATCTACTATTTATTGAAGCTCTAAATGAGGACTGCTAAGCCCCATAAAGGCTAAAGCATGAATTAGACAGTGATCTCATTCTCAAGATGCTTCTAGTTTGATAAGGCTCAAGTATATGGAAATAACAAGAAGGCAAGGTGGAAAGTGTTGAATGGTACCTTAAAAAGGATGTGACCTTAGACTCCTGCCCTGAGTTCTAGAAGTCCCTATTCTGGACCAAAGAGACATGCCCACCAGCAGCCTGAGATTCCTCCCACTTTTAGAATATGTTCTGGGTATCTGACATCCCAGCCCTTATCGATCTTCCCAAGTGTAGACTGCACATCTGGGGTGTGCCGGGGTGGCCCAAGGAGTGGCCAAGGAATGACTACCTGCAGGGACTATCGGTGGGAAGACTTGGAAATGTGGGCCAATTCTCCCTGTACCACCTGTAACAGTTTATTACCTTAAATTGCAACTTTTAATGTTTAGACTATGTTGCAAGGGTCTCCAATTACTCTTGCCCCAGAGGCCCACAAATGTTATGGGCAGGGTGGCCTGGCTATGGGAATTATGAAGAGCAAGAACTTGACCTTGGCAGTATCTGGGAAGTTTCACTGGGGAGGTAGAGCTTGAACAGGCAGAGCTGGGAGAAGGGAAGGAGGAAGAGGAATTTCTGACAGAGGGGAACATCACACTCAAAGACATAGAACTGAAAGTGTCAGCTTGTATGTGGGGAACCTAGCTTTCCATGAGGACATCAGGAGTGGAAGAGTAGAAACAAAGGAGACCAGATCATACACTACCCAGAATGCTAGGACATGGTGAAGTGTCTTGTATTCTCAGCACAGGAGATCCATTTACATGGACTGATGTTCATGACATCTAATATTCACTCCAGTAGGGTTAGGGTCTTTGAAAATCTTTATGTAGACAGTGGGGTGTCATTGTAAGTGTGAAAAGTTTTGATCAGATCAACTTTGTAAAGAGAGAGTGCTGGCTTGCCATGAGGATGGTGAGCAAGGATGGGGGCAAGATAAAAAGAAAATGTATTTGAGATAATGGAAGAGGAAGAAAGAGGTAGAGAAAGGAATAAGACTTGGTACCTGGATTCTAAAGAGGTTGGTGAAGCCATTTGATGAAAAAGGTGATTTCTACGGGTGCCTCGCTGGCTCAGTCAGTACAGCATGCAACTCCTGATCTCTGGTGGGGAGTTCCAGTCCCACATTGGGGGTAGAGTTTACTTTAAACAAAAGAAAAGAAAAAGGTGATTTCTATTTGAAGCTGGACATTTTTTACTTTGCATAGTTAGTCAGATGGTAGTAAGGAATTAAGTAATGTGTTTTACCCTACCTGGGGTTTCACTGAATTCTTTTTAGTCATACGCTGACACCTTTTTTCCAGTCCGGGCAGTTAGATATGAGGATACCCTTGCCCAAAGTAGGTGTCTGGTGGGACCAAGAGGACAAGGTCAAGTTAAAGAAAAGAAACACTGAACACAAGTGTAAGTGTGAAGAATGATTTTTCAGTGAGTCTCTTTTAAACTTATCTGGTTTTCCTCTCCGTTCCCCCCAACCTGCGACATTTTTTTCCACTGACTTTTGTAACAGCTTTATTGAGATATAATTCATATACCACAACTCACCCATTTAAAGTGCACAATTCAATAGGTTTTAATAGTCATAGAGTTGTGCAACCATCACCACAATCTATTTTAGAACATTTTCATCTCCCCAAAAAGAAATCCTGTGCCCTTTACTTACCTACTCCAAGCCCTAGGTAACCACTAACCTACTTTTCATCTCCACAGATTTGTGTACTCTGGACATTTTGTATAAACAGAATAATATATGATCCCAATGTCTGGTTTTTTTCACTTAGCAAAATCTTCTTAAGGTTCATTTATGTTGTAGCATGAATCACTACTTCATTCCTTTTCATGGCCAAATAATGTTCCCTTGTGTTTATCTACTCATCGGTTGACGGTCATTTGGGAAATTTCCTCTTTGGGGTTTTATGAATAAAACCACTATGAGCATTTGGGTAAAGGTTTTGTGTACATATAAGTTTTCATTTCTCTTGGATATATACTTAGAGATGAAAATGTTGGGTTAAATAGAAACTCTGTGTTCAACTTTTTGAGGAAGTCCTAAACTGTTTTTCAAAGTGTTGTGCCATTTTACATTTGCACTAGGAGTGTTTGAAGGTTCCAAAATCCAAGGAAAAACATTTGTGACTTTGACCAATAATCGAACATCCATTAAATGTATGGCAGAGGGCTGTGCAACATAGAGAGTGATAGATAGGTTGTCATATACAAATCCCCTGGATAAACAGAAACCTCTGTTTCTTTTAATAGTTCCTGTTTAATGCCTTGGAGGCCCCAAACAGTAACATCATTTGTGTAGACAGAGGAGGATTTCTATCATATAGGAGGCATTTCTAAGTTGCTAAGTACCCTTTTCCAAAGGAGAACGCAGACATAAAGAGATCTGTCAGCTGCATGGTAGGACAATGACTGGGTCCAGTTTATCTCAACACTTACAGGCCTTGTGCTAGCATTTCCTGGATTCTGGGTCTAACACTCTATTGTCTTCTTTCCTGCAGGCTTTCTAAACACACATATTTGAACATTAAGCTTATTTTTCTTTCATATTCCATTGTATGACCGTAAGTCTCAACCAAAACCGTCTATGAATTGTAAGACATCTCTGACCTATAATTTAAGCTTTGGTCAGTTGCACAGTTTGAAATACACCACTCTGCATGTCCTGAGCTCCTCCGCCTTTCTGTAAACCCGGCTCTGTGAAGATTCCTCGGGTCGCAATTCTTTGATTGGGTTGCTAGTGTCCTAAACGAGTTTGCCTTCTCCAGGTCTCCCAGAAAAATAGAGCAAAAGGCTTCTAAAATGATATGATGAGGGGTACAAACACAACAGAGGAGTGGAAAGGCGTCCTGACACCACTTTCATTTGTCACCGCTGGAGCTTTAAGGGTCAGCAGACGTCGTCTGGGAGATGGTGACGGTGGGCTCCCGAGGTGGAAGGTTAAACCTTGGGTTGGGGTTAAGGAAGTGCAGGAGGCGTGGCTTGGAGACTTAAGAGAAGGTTCACCTCCACAGGTTGGCCACAAAAACTGCTGGCTCCTCAAGTGATGTTTACGTCCATTGAAGTTCGCACCCACCTGGACATCAGCTGACAGGTCAGGTTTCACTAACTCCGTATACCTGAGACAAAAACCCAAACTACATACTCCAAATAGAGACAGAGCCTCCCTTCCCTCCCTCCATCCTTCCCTTTCCTCCTTCCCTGCTTCCTTCCTTCCTTCCTTCTCCTTCTCTTTCCTCTCTTTATTTTCTTTATTATGTATTTATTTTCTATTTCTATTCCACACCCTCCACCCCCCACTTCACCTTCTTCTCCCTACGTCGGCAAATTACCCTCCCCCACCCCACCGACCCGACCCCGGCTCCACCTTTTCATCTCCTGGCGTTTAGCAGGCTCACTCCACCGCGCGCGACCCCCGCGCCGGTCAGGCCAATTCTCACCCTCCCTGCTCCCTTAAAAGCCCAGGGAAAACGTCTTGGCTCCACCATCATGCACTTTCCCGGGAGGGGACTGTCGCACCCCAGGCCCATAAGCTCCAGGGCGGCTATAAACCTCCCTTTTCCTCGCTCTGGGGGCCCCCGCCGCCCCTCTAGCGCCAGAGGCTCACCGCAGCTCGCCGCTTCCCGGGTGGCCCGGCCTCCCCAGAGTCGCCCCGCCCCGTTCCAGCTCCGCCCCCGGCCGCAGCTCGCTGATTGGCCTTCCACCTCCTTTCCCCGGGCTCCTCTCCTCCCCTCAGCCCAATGGGCATCGCCACCTGGTCCAAAAATTCCCCCAAGGGGACCGAGGGGCTCTGCCACCGCCAGCTCCTGCAGGGCGGCGGGGACCGCCGCGGTGGGGCGCAGAACGAGGAGGGGACCCGGAGCGGGGGAGCGGAGGAGGCGGGAGGAGGAGCAGAGGTGTTGGAGAGAAAAGTTCTGAAAGGAACAGGAAACCTGCCGGGGTAGTGGCGGCTGCGGCTCTCGGGCCCCTCCGACCCCCAGGGCTGCGCACGTCGCGGGGCGTCCGCCGCAGCGGCTTCGCTCCGGGCCGGCTTCCCCGGCGCGGGGGCAGGGCTGAGCCACGACACTCGGTCACTCAGGCCGTGCCCTTCGCTGCCGCTGTCGGCGCTGCAGCTGTGCGCTCCGTTCCGCCTCTGCCGCGGCGGCTCCCCGGAGAGGGCGGCGAGGGCGCAGGGAAGAGGAGGGACGTCTACTTTGGAGCATGAAGCAGCATGTCTGATAAAATGTCCAGCTTCCTCTACATAGGGGACATCGTGTCCCTGTACGCGGAGGGCTCGGTCAACGGCTTCATCAGCACCCTGGGGTAAGCCGGGGACGCGGGCTGCGCAGCGCCCGCGCTCTCTCTCCTGAACCATCCCCGCCCCTGCTCGCGCCGCCGCGTCCCCCTGCTCCCGCCCGGGGGGTGGCCGGGCCGCGCGGCTGGGTCTGTGCGCCCGCGGACAGCGCCGGGCGCTCGGCTCGCTCGCAGGAAGCTGCCCGGAGAGGCAAGACTTTCTCAGCAACTTCGTAATCTCAAGCTCAGAGACGCATCAAAAAAGGAGGAAGTGATTCAAAAGCCCCGAGACAGGCCCTGCGAAGAAGTCTTCGCTAGCTTCTCCAAGGGTTGTTTTCGTTAAACGTGTTTGTTTTCCCGAAAAGGTAGAACAATACTGCACCTCTCCCGGTCTTGGCGAGCGACCACCCCCAAACCCCTGTCTCTCAGGGCAGTCGATAAAAGTCCGTGGCCTTGGACATGAAACTCAGGCGACGTGGTGAGCCAAAGTGTGGCTTTGCCCCTGCGGGGGTTGCTCACCGTCTCGTCTTCTCTGAAGTAATTTCCTTTCGGCTTTGCCAAACCGGGACTTGCCGTCAGGGGTAGCCCAGGGATGATGACTGCAGCTCTGTGACCCTTAGATGTCTCTGAGGGCCTCCTGGTTCTAGAACGCAGACCTGCTTTTCCCCTGTCCTGGGCCTTGGCCCACTGAAATCCTGAACTTCTCCTGGAACTCAGCCAAGTGCAGGGCTCTTGAGATTCGAGCTGACTTATGAATGGGGGAAATAGCTATATAAACATAACATGTGCTAGTTGGTTAAATAGGACTTCCTTGATGACTAGTATTTTCTCTCTGTCCTGATTGTGAATACCAGTTAGCAGTTTAAATATGCACGCGGCAATGTGTTTTCATGCGCACGCATTTTTTTTTTTTTTTTTTTTTTTTAAATTTTTATTACCTTGCGGTCTCAGTACTTCAGACTGCCCACTCTTTAGGATTTCAGGCTGCAGAACTGGTGTTTCCACTCCTGGCCGGTCACTGTTAGGTTTTAGGGCACATGACTTAACATGCAGTGTCCTTGGACCGTGACTGTGAGCCATATTATAACGGAGTGGGTGCCTACTCGACCGAGGTCGTGGAAGTCACCAGTACTTACACAGTTTGTGTTAATTTTGCATCTCCCCCGTAGGTGAAGGAAGGGAGGTAGATATAATTGATTCCCTTTAAGGTCAATGTTAATCGTGAAACTGAAATGGGTAAGAAAAAATGTCAGTGGCCAGTGTGTATGTTGGGCTTGTAACTCATGAGCTACCATTTGTTCCTGACAGAATTCACAGTTCAAGGACATTTTTGTGCCCCCAGCACCATTTTGCAGATGAACTCTGTTGCACTTCACCTTTCCCCACCATAGACTCACTCTCTGGGTGGTGGGTAAGCAGGAAGGGCTCCAGGGCCAAAATGCTTAGGGTCAAATCCTGGCTTCTCCATGTGTGAATCTTATGACTGTGGGGTGGGCAAGTTACAAAATTGCTCTGTATCTCAGTTTCCTCATGTCTAAAGTTGGGAAGAATGATGGTTTCTACCTCACAGGGCTTTGGTGAGGAAGAAGTGAGTTAATATATGTAAAGTGCTTAGCACAGTACCTGGCACATAGTAAGCACTTATGTGTCAGCTATTGTAATTAGCACTACCTTGGTTCCTGTGAACAATAGTTAACACTGGTAGACAAAATGATAAAAAAAAAAAAAAAAAGGACTAGGAATAGAGTATAAAGCCTAGACAAACAAAAGGCCATGTGTTTGTAGTGTCTCATTCAGCAAAGGTATGTGTTTATGTGTCTATACACATAAAGAGTTATAGGTGGTAAATCAGGAAGCTGCTGCTTCAGCAGTTGTGGACTCTGTCCTGCTCATTATAGAGATCAGGGAACTCAGGGGAAGAGAAATGAGGTGACTTACCTAAGAAACAGAGGATATTAATGCCAAAAGCTGGAACTGTAACCCCGTCTTCAGATTCCCAGCCGAGTGTGTGTTTCTTTGGCGACATATCATAATCTTTAAGCCTTGAAAAAAAGAAAGCTCTCGACCTTTAATGTAGTGTATGTTTGTGAAAATATTTAGTTGTATCCAAATTTCTCGCTGGTGTCTTGAAAGTTGCGTTTCTACAGAACATGTGTAGTATTATTTTTCTGTTAACAAATTGAGTCTTGTTGAGGTTAATATGACAAGACCTCTGTGTAGCTCGATTCTGAGGTGAGGAAGGATCTTCAGAAAAGCTGCCCTTCGTGAAGCTTGGTGCTTTGATTGGATATTCTTTTTCTCTAACCTGTGGAGCTAAAAATTTGGCTTAAAGTTTCTGATTTCTGTTTTAGCTCTTTATCCATTTGACACTTTCGATAGCATGATGGCTTTTCAAATTCAGCTTAAGAGAGTAGTTAATGAGAATTTAGTGGATAAGCATTTCAAGGTAATTCTTGGTAAAGATAGTCATCTGCAAACAAATTTTGTCTGATTTGAACATTTAGTGTGTAAGGAAGTTTTGGAGGATATGCATTATTATCATTTTGCTTTGGGGAAGTTTTGCAATAAGGTAATGAATTTTTCTGTTAAAAAACCGATCAGTTTCATTCTCGAAGAGTTTAGCAGGCTCCTCTTAGAGATACTTCCTACTGGAAATGTGGGAGGAATTTTCTTAGGCTCTGTGACTGAGCTTCCAAGTTTGATTTCTCAGTGTGAGAAATTAGAATGCCCCAGTTGCAAAGATTTGCATTTCCTCTTTTTTCTCCAGTTATCCTTTAACCAGTACGTACCTGATGTTTCTGAATCCCAAATTGTTGCTGACTGAGGTATTTTTCTGCCAGCTTGTGTAGGTGCAAAAGGGGCCAGTTTGTATTTTGTAACTTAATTTTTCATCTAAACATCTATTTAAGAAACACTTATATTGATTTAAGGAAAACTGCTTTAAATCCTGTAGAATGAAGATGGTGAATATATTTTAAATAAACAAATTTCTGGCTAATGGTACATTTTAGGGTTATAGTTTTTTTTTTTTAAAGGAAGGGAGGGAATTTTGGGACCTGCTGTACAATTTTAAATGCAGTGGTAATAGTTCCTTCTTCCCTTTTCTATTTTCTTTATCCTGAGCCTCACTTCCCTGGTTATTGCCACATCTGACACTTCATATTTCTAAATATGATATCACCTTGAATATGATATCAAGGTCAATATCACCTTGACCAGTGATTAGGTACCATCCAGTGGGAATGAGCATAGCAGGACTTCCAGGGTGGGTGGGATAGAATCAGTAAAAAGGTATTTAACTCCTTCGTTGTCTATTCTCCATATGGTTGAAAGGTTAGTAAATGACACATGTGCATATGAGTGTGTGTGTGTGTGTGTGTGTATATATATGTATAAGTGATTGCTGCTTTTGGCTTGAGGTTTCTTCACAGGATCTACCAAGAGTCAACACCCACTAGTTAAAGTCTCAGCAAACTATCAGATGACACTCATTGATGCCGTGACTACAGAGCATCATAATAATCTTTTAACCAGAGTGACAAAAAACTGGGGCCCTTATCTTTACTTGCTGCTTGATTTTTGGCCAATTCAGTGAACTTTTCAGTACCTTTGTTTCCATGTTCAATGATGGACGTTAGGTAGGGTGATGGCATGTCACACAGTTTATAATTCTACCTGAATTCCTCGGATGAATAAAACTATAAATGCATACCTTTTATTGTTCCCAATTATAGTCCCTTGACTTTCCTTTCCTGATCTTTTTCTCTGTTTAATGTTTCTGGTATTTAAATATTTGCAGATTTGGTTTATTACTATCTTTTCTTCTGTCATTGAATTATGCTACTCTTATTACAGTTTTAAGATTCTTTCCCTTACTAGGACTGATCAGTGAAGAAAGAGTCAAGTAGATGAAGCAAGGCATGGTTATAGTCAACTTCTATTTTAGTATAATTTGCAGATTATCTTTAGTCTTTCCAACAGAACCCTTCCAAATTAACAGCCAGTATTTCCTGCTGTAACTAGCTGTATAAACTTAGCTTTGTTTTGGTTGAGGCATATGCTATTTTGATAAAAAAACATCTAAAAATCCATTGAATATTTGCATGCATGTTCAGTGGAGAGGAAGAAGACAGTATAATCTTGAAAACTTAGCTGTTTTGGAAAATCTAAGGGTTAGTAGTGTCATGTTATGGAACTTGAAATCTGCTCAGGTACAAAGAGAGTTTCTCAAGTGGTGAACATAAAGTTTATTTTAAGCTAAAGTGGACTGTTTCTTAAACTTAGAAGTCATTCCATAAATGACTTCTCTTTTAGCTTTTAGACCCTCTCTTGTGGATAGCTCGGTCAGGTAAACAACCATCCCTCCTCAAATGCCTGGCTTGGCTCTGATAGACTGAAACTCACAGGCAACTGCTTGATCTTTTTCTAGATTTAACAGAAGCTTATTTTATTTCATTTTATTTCATTTTATTTTATTTTATTTTTTGCATAGGTAACACATTTCATAATCACATTGTCCCCTTGGAACTGTCCTTGTACAGATGGTACAAGGGTAACTTACAGAATATAGACAGAATACTATAGACTCATAATTTAAAACTGAAATTCCAGGCAGAGGGTGTGTCTTCGTATACAAATATAGAAGAAGTAACAGTGGACTTCTATGACAAATTTATGGCATAGTAACAGAATGAATTTTACTCCTTTTTTTTTTTTAACACCGGATCTTGGTAACCGATCATCAGATTATAATGAGAAGTGTAACTTTAATGATCAGTCATTCATTCATTCATTCAATGGATAAAACTCTGCTTTTCAAATGTATTGATGCCTTTTTTTTTTTTTTTTTTTTTTTTTTTTTTTTGTGGTTATCTTTCCACTCCCATGCAGATTTAGACTGGAAAGTTTTCAATATATGCCTTCAGAAAACCATAATTCTACTTGAAAAATACAAAACAACATACATGGGAAATAGTGACAGAAAATAGAACAGTATATTAGCAGTTATGGCACCACATGGTGAATGGATA